GGATTTTAACCAATAAGGCAACTGATTCTCCGTTGAAAAAAAAAAAAACTGCGTGCCGCAGCCTACCTGTTCATTTAGCAACTCGTAGTGAGAGTTCATACATGCTCATCATCACGATACAAAAATGGACGACACAACAGTAACGCATTTCTCTCGTGGAAATACAAAGTCAAACGATAGCTTTATGTGGTTTACAGATGAACTTGGAAGTCTTTATTCATTCGAAATGTTCAAGAATAGATAATCTTTGGTGCGGTAATGCGATTTCATGATCCGATTCGTGAACAGATGATTCTTTTGAGTCAATCTTTATAATGAATCATTTCTTTTGTTTAACGAAACCAGTGTGAATGGTTCACAAACTGGATAGATCTGAGGTGTGTTTACCAAAAGCATCGTTAGCGAACTGTGGTTGTTAATTATTGAACTATAACGACATTACTTGCGACCGTAGTTGCTTTGGGAAACGAGCCCTGTCAATTTTGACTCAGCGATTCTTTTGTGCCGATCGCTTCTCCATAGAAAGGATTATCAGTGAAGTAATCACTTAAAGTTTGGTCCATTCATTAAACAAATCTATTGTATAACTTGGAGAATATGTTTGGATTCATTTTGAAGCTTGGAATGCAGCATGAAATAGCATGGAATCCCATTCATTGTATTCAAATTGAATTTATATAGATTTAAATGACACAACATTTTTTTTGTTGTTCATAGAAATGCTGTGGAAAAACTGATGTTGTTAAAAATAAAATGCAAGGAAAACGCAAATCTTATGATTGTTAGATGTCACTTTTATTTAGAGTTGGAAATCATAAAAACAAGACATTAATATGTGTATAGCTTAAGTATTTCAAAGTATTCTAAAGTATTTAGATTAAGTTACTAAACCTGAGTAATCTAACGAAATACATTACTGATTACTTTTTAAAACTTGTATTTTGTAATCTGTAGTGAAATACATTTTAAAAGTAACCTTCCCAGCCCTGATTATAATGCATTATAAATGTACCAAACCCTTGTTGTACTACATAAAGTCTGTAAGATTGTACATTTTACATCGTAGTCTACATTTTAATAGGCTATTAGAAAGAGTAATAATAGTAGTAAATGCCAGAAATGCCAGATATTATTTATTAAGCTATGACTCTGGATAATTGATTTTTAGAATAGAGATCCCACGATTCTCACGATTCTGAAAACAAAACATTAGACAAAATAATATATAGGCTAATTCACTTAGGTTTCTTACAAAATGTTTTATTTAATGTTATAAATGAGTCTAAAATGTTATGAATGAGCCTATTAAAAATAATAATATGTAAAAAAAAATATTTGAAATGAATGAACTTGATTTGATCGTTTTTGAATGAATCTCTCGATTGAATGAATTAGACATCAAATGCATTTTAACAGTCACTGGTCGCTACCTACTTGTAACATGTAACATATAGGCCTAATCATTATTTGAAGCGTAACATGAGTTCCAAAGGTCAGTTTCTCACGTGGCTGCCGGCTGCCGCAACATCAGCTATATCCGGACTATAAACTTTTATCCCAATACTTTCGTTATTAGTATTTAATGTTTGCAACACAGAAATGTAACCTACTGTGTAGAGTGTTTGTGAAGCTGTTTCAAACATAAAGCTTACATGATGAGCGCTGCTCTCTCTGGATCAGCGGCTGCGCGAAAGCAGGTTTAAATATTCCGATGTGATTGTGATTTCAAATGTTTAATATACGTAGTGGAATCATTGTCATAGCAATAAGATTGCGTGTGTTTGAATCGAGATCGCGATCTTTTAATGATTACTCCATGAGCCATGTATTTTTATGTCATAATTTGTACCAGACTTGGTGTTAATTCACTCTCACCCTCCTGGCTATCTGCTATGGTTTCATCTTTGCTTCCTTCCCATGAAAAATTATCATCTCTTGATGTTAACAGTGCTACTGATACTTTCTGCTCCACTCTTACGTCTTGTTTA